TCTGGAGCAAGGTGGGAAATGCTAACCAATCTAATAAATAAGGCAGTTTAAAGCATTTGTGGCTGCTACTGTGATTTATTTACATACTTTACAGCATAAATTACTGTACAGAATACTCTGTTTATTAACCTGTGTAAACAATATTGCCTGCTGTATGGGGACGTATTGTGGGATTATGGTTGGTGGAAAGATAAACTGCTGTAGCATTGGCTGGGTACTGGAGGCCTCGGGTAGCGCATCCTTGGAAAGAAACATGAGAGGTACTTTATGAGCTGCAAAGAAACCCATCCTGACTCGAATAATTTAACAGAAAACCTGCTGATGTATCTTGCTATAAATGAAACATGGAAATGAATCTCTGCGGTTTGTTACAAAAATAATTCTGGTCATAAGCTGATCTTTGTGTACCTCATCTGGACAGGAACCCTCGTTTAGAAGTTTGCTGCTTGAAGATGGGAGGTGGGGAAGAGTTGCAACATGCAAGTGTCTCACTGTGCGCTATCTGCACTGCCAACACACCCAGCAGGAGCATGGTCGGTGGCCCCACACTGTGACCACTGCATTGCCTTTTTAGCCCCTGGTCCTATGCATAGCATGGGAAATACGGAGGGAATCAGGACTACTACGATTCTTGCAACTGGCTGGAGGAGTAATGACAAATTAAAGCATTTTGTTATTTTGTCCGCCCTGTGCTGTCTTCCCCACCTGTTTGTTTCCCTCACCCATCCGCAGCGTGGTTTGGTTTTGCTTCTGTGTGTTGGTAACTCTGTCTCTGTAAGGATGCCTACTGCAACATGGTCCAGGTTTCCATTAATAATATGCCCAGGAATATAGGCCGTAAGTGGTAAGTGTGTGTGTGTGTAGCCATGATTTGTTACACCTATCGTCTCCATCTGCCATGGTCAGCATGGAGTGATATCCCTGCACAGAAGGACCAGAGTTAGACTTGGTCTGCCTGGAGAGCAGCTCTCACGCCACTTGGCTCCTTTGCCTTGGCTCCTGCCTTTCCTGTTGCTGCCCACAGAAAGAGACAGACTACCATTGGTTCCACAAGCACACCTTGATCTGGCTGCTCTGAAGCTCTCAACACAACACTGCTCATCCTGCCTCCACCGACAGCCAAGGATGATGCCTAGGCCAGCCCTAGGAGCTGCTATGGGACTGCTGGTCTGCAGGCAGGCCGTGAGCTTTAGGTGGCCCTGGGTGGCCTACAGGCTGTTCATTGTGAATAAAATTGCCGCTTTCATGTAATGAATTGAAAAATGCTGTTGAATTTCCATAAAAAAGGGTAATATTGGCATAATGTGGGCTCCCAGCCAAGCTCATCTCCTTTGCCATGTACAGAAAAACTGCTTCTTCTATTTAAAGGAAGCCAGCTCTACTACCAGACAACATACAGAAAATGTGCCTGTGAGCATTTAGTAGTCTGTAAAATATATTGTCTTGATATTTCAGTAATCTTACTAGAAGAAAGGCGCATGTCCTTGAGGAACTATGTACTTCTTTGCAGTGAGTTAGGGAGTGAGCAAGAGGTGTTCCAAGTCTAAAATGTATACTTTAAACATCTCAGAAATAAGTGTACTTAACTGCATACCTATTTTCCTGCATATCTGCTCCCTCCCAACGTGACCTCAGCCCCCCTCCCATCCTACATCAGTGCACCTAAGGTGTTTACCAATTTCAGCAGGTACCCTCGCTAGCAAGAGATATGACTGTAAACCTGGGATAGGATTTATATACTGCTATATCTGAGCTCATCACCTAAATTCCCTTTGTAGACAGTACACAGAAACGAGCATTTCCAGGGTGTGATTCATTGTGCTTATTATGTACAGTACAAGATGTACTGTACACAAATTCTGTGTTTAAATCAGGACATTTTTATCTCTCCCATTCTACCTTTCCTTGCTCTTTATCCCCAGTGAATTGTTATGAGGCTGATTGTGTGTCCTCAAGTGGCTTAAAAAAGGTCCTTGCACAGGTGTGAGACCATCAGTTCCTGCTGGTTCTACTGCAGGGCTGCAGAGCAGCAATGCTCATTCAGGCAGATCAGCAACACAATGTCAGGGAATGGTGCTGGGCCAGGAAATGCTGCTGTAACCCCTCCAGCTACACTGCTGTTTCACACAGGGTATGTGAGTCACCAGCGCTAAAGGCTTTCACTCCCCAGATTGCTGGTCTCTCCCATCCGCCTTCCAATGCAGAGAAGAACTCGGGTGCAAGTTGTGCATGGAGTCACCAGCACTCACTCTCTCTTCTGAGGAGGGAACTCTGTTTCTAGGACTAATGGGAGAAGGTGGATGCCAGTCCCACAGGTGGGGTGGAAATGAGAAGAAAACAGATCCTGAGCTGCTCAGAGAAGCTCTGCGCTTCCCTCCATCTCTTTTCCAGTGAGGAATTTCAGCTCTAATTTCTCCTGTATGTCACAAGCACAGGCTGGGAGATGGGGTTGCAGGAAGAGCTGGCTGTGGGACCAGGAAGGCAAAATGAAAGGCTAAGGAGATAAAAAAATAATTACTGCAACGATTATGACACTCGTTAGCTATGTGTTATTTGCTGAGGAAAACCAGAAGTCCCCAACTTCCTATACTGCACCTTAGCAAGTGGAAGATGGACTTGTTTGTTGTGGGTGAAGGCAAACTGCCAAAGGGCCTTGATGTCCAGAAAGACTTGAGGAAAGGACCCATGTGAACCTCAAGAAGTTCAACAAGGCTAAGTGCAAGGTCCTGCACTGGGGTTGGGCGAAGCCTCAATAGCAATACAGATTATAAGGGTGAGAATTCCGTATCTAAGAATGCCAAGTGGAGAAAAGGGTAACTAGTGCTAAGGAAAGAAGGATTTGTTAGTATTGCCTGAATAACATGAACAGCAGTAGAAACATTTTGATTTGACTGGTGGTCAGTCCTTGGTGCTCTATTGACGTCTAGAGGTAAGATGTCAGAACAGAGCTGACAGTTTGACCAGGGATGCTGACTAATGATGGTGTGATTTGGGAAGGTAACTCCCTGAACACTCCCTGTGTTCCCAACATACTGACTTCCCAACTCAGTTGCTGGTACCACGTATCACACTTAGACACATATTTTGCTATGATAGAGACATTTTCTTAGTTTCATTAAGCGACTGGTCCTCTTTGCAATGTACCATTCTAAAAGAAAATTAAATCCATTGATTTAAAGTTATTTGAAACTGGATGTGGAATAACAAATTATTTGAATACTTCTGAGGCTGTTACGAGAAACACACTTGGTACAACTGGGGAAGCAAATTTCTTTCACAGAAATACAAAGTGGCTCAAAGACATAAAAGGATTGAAGTGCTGTGTAGCTATCATCTGTAGGATGGCTACACAGCACCTGGTTAACCTATGCTGTTTGTGCTATATACTACAGTGATTCTTGCTCTCTACTAGGATCAAAGCTATTCTCTGGGAATGGCAATTTCACCTAGGCTGTGACTCCCCTTAGTGCTAAGCACAAGTTTTATATACTCTGGTGCTTACAATAAGAGCCTACATGGTGTTTAAGGATTTTGAGGGTCTTGTAGCTCTGGACTCAGGGGTGAAATTCATCTAGTGTACTTAGCAGTTTTTCCCACAGCTCTTCTGCAGCACTTTCCTTCTGAGGATACAAAGTGATTTGCAAACATTAATTAATTCTTCTAAAGCCCTATGAGGCAGATAAGTGTTAAGTATCCCTGTGTTAGTTCATATGAGAAACATGAAACCTGAGTGCCTTATGATCCATGCTGTTTTCTATATGTACTCTCAAAAAGGAATATGTGCCTTGGGACAGAGGAAATCCCCATTTTTTCATCATTCTGTTGTTTTCCTTGGACCCTTCTAAAAGGGCAGCAGGGATGAGACTAGGATTCGAGCTGCAGAGATCGAAGAAAAGAGGGAGCCTTGCTGTATTTGCTGCTGGTTTTGTAGGGGAAAGCCAGGACCTTTATGCAACCTGTGGATTACTTGCTCCGTGCTCCAGCACTCTATTTGAAAGGTAGCTTGGGCTGCTGAAGTAGGAAACACCCCTAAAATTGCAGGCATACTTGCAGGCTACCAGGAGCAATAGAACCAGACAGCAAGTGGAGGCAGAGGAATTACTGGAATAAACAGCCCTATCTGAATGCCACCTGCATCGCTGAGGAAAACTATAGACTTCTGGAAGAACAGTGGAGCCTTGGATGCTCCAAATCTTAGTGGTTTTCCTTTATGGAGCTTTAGTAAGGTAAGAACAATCAGGGCCTAAACTGCCTTTCCCAGATTGTTAATTAACCTTAAGAACAATTTACAGCATGGCCACTCTGCTGTTATGTTCCTATAATGTGGGAAATGGAGCCTTTGATTTCTTGAAGGCAAATGACAGCTTTATGAGAAACACTGAAGTAGCCAAATTTTCATGCTAACAGTACAGACATTGTTCTCCAGCTTCCAAGACAGACTAGATATAAGATCATCCAAATGCTTTTCTGAATGCATTCTGACAAAATTATCTACGGTTACATGCCTTCCCAGCCGCTGGTGCACAGCGCATAAGCTAATGTAACAATTATAATTATGGTCGTGATCAGACCTACAAGGCCTTTTTAAGACATGAAAATCAGACTAATTCTCTAGTTTCAAACACAATGAGTTCAAATATGTGATGTAAATGCTAACAAAAAGATACCAAATGAAAGGCATGTTAGGTCTGCACCAGCCAAACTTCTGTTGTTATCTTAACAAGTCCATATTCTTCAGGCATTGTTTGTATTTCTATTGTACCAGGAGATTTATTCTTTAGTTTGAGGAGTCTCCCTGAATGGGGGAGGGAAACGTTGCTATTGCTGTGAAAAAGAAACATCTTTTTCTGACGTATTTAGCATTAAGAGGATTATATAAAGGCAAGGCATGTCACAGAAGGAGATGTTCTTAATACAGCTTTTACCATGAACCCATGACCCTCCAGAAAATTTAGGAGAGTTAAAAAACCTATTGCTTTGTCAATCTTTCAATTTTAAAAAAAAAATCTTCTTGTAAAAAGATCAAGGGATTGATCTACTGTTATTTACATAAAATTCAACCTTTCCTGCTTAAAATCATGAATCATTTAATGTCACATCTGCAGGGTATCTGAGGCAGATGCCATTAATGCAAGTAATTTCACAAATTCCAATTTCATTTGGATTAAAACCTACAACTAAGTCAGTGAATAGAATATACTGTACATGCATTAAGGCTGGTGACTACTAAAATCTCTTGGGTAGATAAACTAAGCAGAGATTAGCCAGGTCTAAGTAAATATGTCCTCACCTAGGGAAAAAAAGATATCCTGACATTTCAGGGATGCAGATTTGAATCAGTAGCCATGAAAAATGGTTGAATATTTGTATTACAAAAGAGATACTGTGGCACAGTCACAAAGGTGCATTTCTTATAAATTAATTAGCCACACAAATTATTTCAATAACAGCTACTGAGGTGATATGGCTCCTCAGTGATGAGTACTTGATGATCAGTGGTAGGCACTAGTAATATCCTTCATGCTGAGTGACTTTTATCACTATTTAGATTTACAGTATATACATATGTGTTTGTATCTACACTTAGGGCTTGATCTTCTTAATCTCCTTTACCTAAAGTCATCTGTTCACTATAATCTTCCTTTGGAGCCCTGTGATATTTGGATAAAAGAAATAGGCATACAAGGGGTGGGTGTATCCTGCCATGTGACAGGGAGTTCTATGCTTGGCTTTTGTTTGCACTTGAACCTCTACATATGCTTTGTTCTTACCTGTCAATCATGGTATACTATAAATGATTAGGGCCAAGGGGTCGGTATGGTCTTGCTGTCTGTGAGGATGCTATAGGCTGCCCTGTATTTGTTGCATCCACTTGCAATACATGGTTCCTTTGAATCCATTCCCATTGCTTTACCAGCACTTCTGTTTGCTTCTGTTTGTAAGCAAACCTCTCCCTTTAGGCATAGTCCTTTTGGATTTGTACAGAATGACTTCTTACTTTCCCAGAATGAACCTGAACATTGCTATGGTGTAAAGGAGCCTGCATGGTCCTGGACTTCTACAACAGATTTGAATGAGCCATTGTCTTTCATGGAACTCCAGAGGACGACAGTCACCTCTGGTCACATCCAGGACACACAGAACACTTTTGACTCGTGTTGAAGTGCCTAAGACTATTCATCTTCTTAAGACAGAGCATATGCTTAACTGGACCAGACCTAAAAGCCACATGCACTTCTCTAGACCAGGCCGTAAAAAGATGAAATTAAGTATTCCATGTCACCATGCTACATTCAGTCATACAAATGGCAGCAACCATATACAGAAAGTAGTCTGCACAAAAGAGTATTCTAAATAACCTCACCAAAATAGTATAGCTGCAGGAAACCCTATGGAGAGGAAGCCAGAACTTCTAATCCATTTATATGTCTAGTTGGTTTAAATGGCTGCTATTTCATCCTGTTATATATACCACCAGAAGTTAAGGCTCAGTGTGCTCATCAGACAACACAGATGATGCCAGCACAAAAACTGAAACCCAGTGTGTTTTTCCATGGAAGCGATGGACATTTTAACTGGAATAATTCAATGTAAGAGCAATGTACAAGAAAAAACAGTCATCTACAAGAGATCCTTAGTACTTGGAAATGTTACAACAGGACAGCATTAATTCTTGCATTTCTCTGAAGTTTCTTGACATATTGCATCCATACAAAGAGTTCATTGCGTTTTAAGAAAAATATCCCAATCTTAGTAAAATAAACATGCTTCAAAGTTCCATATTTGCAACTCAAATGCCACATGTGCAATAAAACTAAACTCCATTTAAGGCAAGTAATATATGTCACTTCTAAAATTTCTCAACATTAAATAGCAGTAAGGGCTCCCAACCCCCCAGACTTATCTGAAGATAAACATCATAGGCACCGTCAAAGAAAACAGAAGTTAATCTAACTGGAATTTCACTTTCCTGATCTGAGGAGAAATCCCAAAGTACCTTCATATGGTATCGAAGCAGCTGATGGAATTTGTTGCTGCTAGTGTAGTAAGTCTCTACAGACTTCCACAGCTGGAGATCAGGCAAGTGATAAACTGAAAGGCACCGATCAAGTTCTCCATGATAGTTGTGACCAAACGGATTGTGTTCTTTTTGGGGTGGGTAACAGCCAGAGTTCAGAGTGACAGGACTTGGGGGATGTTTGTTTTGTTATTTAAAGGCAGGTCCGTGTTCACTCTTAAAGCCAGACAGTGTAACACTCAAATCTGTGCTAAGAGGTGGCCACAGCCTGAGCTCAGTACTTCAGTTAGGGGGAAGTATCTGAGCACCAGTGGACACATAAATATCAGCCCAGCCTGGCTTGGGGCAGAGCAATTCCTAGTAGCTAGCTGCTGAGCTGCCTCAAAGAATGGGGTGAGTGCTCCGAGTCTGAGCAGTAGCTGGAGTTATGGTACATGGGGCTCAATGTGCTCTCAAGCCTGCTCTTTACCACGAGGTACAGCCAGCCTGTTACCAAAGACGTTTAGCTCAGAAAACGTGCTGCAGGGCTTGGTACTTTTTTTTCTCAAAATGCAGCTCTTCAAAAATGGGGGAGGAAAAAAAAAGGCAGCAAAGACCGCTCAACCAGCAATCAATTGTATCTTCTATTGAGAGAGTCTTTTGTACTCACATTTCCTTAATATGTAAGTAAATTAGATTAGGAAACAACAACCAAAGGGTCCAACCAGTGACTTGGACAAGAACAGATCGTTGAAAGTCACCAGAGCTGCTCAACTGAGTAAAGGCTGCAAATCCAATTGCAAAAAAAATATATATTTTTTAAATGTACAGAATTTATTTTTTAAAGTACAGAAAACTAAATCTGTGAAAACGACTGAAAATGAACAAAAATGTACTGAATGCAAGCACAGTTGAGATGAACTGGCCTTGACCTCAGCTGACCCAAATTAAACTCCAATTATTGTGGGATTAATTCTGGCATGAAAAACACAGCCTGTCAACAGGAACTGAAAACATCCCATAAATCAAGAAACATTAAAGCCTAGTTGAGTATTATGCATGAAGAGTGAGAGGATTACGATAGGAAACAGTTCTTAGCCTGACAAGCAGCAAACTCAGCTTCCCAGATAAAGGAAATAGCATGTAATGCTCTCATACAGCCTGGAAGAAAATGCTGCAAGCTTCTGCTAGATGAAGAAAGGTATGAAAGTAAATATCTGTGGGATGAAGCCTTCCCAGGCAAAGCCAACAACTGTTATAGATATCTCTCTGTCTCTCTGAGTGTATGTAGCTAAATTAACACATTTTCTTTACTAAGTGGATTGCAGTTTGCCATATTTTTTCATTTATCTGTTTACTGTCAGTAACAGAATGCAATTTTCCACCATCTCTTCAAAGCTTTAGCTGTCAGTATATCTGTTTTCAGGCTTTTTGCTTGATCCTGTAGGTTATACTGTTGGTGAGGATCTGAACAAGAGGTAAAGTTATTTAAAAAGACAGGAGATAAAGAAACGCATGCAATTTGTTGAAACTTATTGCACATGAAAGAATGCCATCTTTCTCCAACTTAATGCAAGCTACACAACTCCGCTGTGTGCCCCAGTGGAGAAGTAACAGAGAAATGACACATTAAGATTGAAGCTGCTGTGATGTGTCCATGCTCGCAGGATAACTTCTCCACGTCTATGATTTGCCCTCACTCATTCCAGTTCAGGAAAGCCCTTGTTTATGTGCTTAAGCTCTGCTGAAGTCAGTGGGATTTCAGTGCAAGCTTAAAGTTAGGAATCTATTGACAGCTTTCCTGAATAGGGATCTGTGCTTATTGCACTTGGTTTAATCAACCCATGAGATTTTGGCATCTGAGTTTTTCAATACAAGAATAGAAAGGGTATGCTTTGTGCATTAAGATCAGTTCTTTCTAGTATTTCTAGTGTATGAAAATGTTTGGAGAGCAATACAGAACAATTCATTCTGAAGTGGCATCATATATTGTACATATGTACACATACATGTCTACACCCAGAAAAATTTTACTCAGTATTGAAGAAAGAGTCACCTTTGTTTGGATCAATGCTGTGGTTGACTGTATCTGTAGCACAGTGTCCAGAATAACTGAATTATCCATGAAAGGTATACCGTCCATGTGAATGGCACACAGTCATTATGACAAGTGAGCACTATTCCGCACCCAGTGAAGTCCTTGTTGAGTGTACTGAACTAAATGCTCCATACTGCTGTGCAAGGTGATAGGTCCCATCAATGCATCCAAGTCGTTAAAAAAATCTACAGGGGAAAAAAAGATTCAGCATCAGAAGAGTGAAACTGCATTTACTACTTGTCACCCTTTAATAGATTTTATTCTCTTGCAAATTGAGCCAAGCTGAACATTTCATAGGAATGAAAGTTTAGTGCTAGCAAGATTAATTTTAAAGCCCTATGGTTCATGATGTTACAGGCTGATGCACAACAATTTTCTTTTTAAAGAGCCAAGCAGTGAATTCTTCAGCTTTGCTTTTCATTAATTTCCACTGAGTCTTGATAAAGCAAACAGATGCTGGGCAAGATTTATTTGGAGATTAGGGACAGCTAAATCAAAAAGTCTACACACAAAAGTCTGTCTATACATATGCTAGATATTTAAGCTACCATATCAGAGTAATAGAGGCCTGTGCAACATGGTCAGCCCAGCCTAAAGAATAAATTGGCTAACTAGCCACTAGGGGCTTAATTCAGTTGCCTACTTTGAGATGCTCCCAGGCAGTTGATAACAACCCGAACAGGCAAATCTTACACAGGAGACTTCAGCAGTGGGAGTGTAGGTAAGGATACCTCAGATAATGGCATTTGGCAGCTATGGTTAAAAACTGAATTGTATTCCAGTCTCCCTTTCAGGGTGAATTGGGCAGCCCTCTGAACTCTGCTGACTGTATTGACCAAAGCTCCATCAACTGCAATGAGAGATTTGCCCACTTGCCCCAACTCATATATACACACCTACATTTAGGGGTCTTCATTTGAATCCTGGCAATGTCACTGCCTTAAATACACAATTTAGCCTGAAAACCAAGCAATACTTTGCCATCAAGTCAGATGTTGAGGCATTTGCTCATGGAAACCAGTTCAGCTGAGAGAAGTTTACTCTTAAGAGGGAACGAGCTGCCTCGTTCCCATCTGTGTCTGCTTGGATGGGGGGGAGGGTTAGGGGCTGCTCACTCCTTCTGCAGAAGGGAAGTATGTTCCTACTTTTTGACATGGAGTGGCTAAACACATGCCATCCAGCTCCACAACTTTGGGAGGAAGGAAGCTGCCTTGCCTGCCACAAACCTCTCTCTCCAGAGTGACACAGATGGCAGTGAATGCTACCCACAGCTATGTCTGTGACCTGTCTGTCACCAGTCCTGACCAGCCAAATAAAGAAAAAAAAAAACCTAGTGGGATAGTGAGACAGCTATCAAAATTGCCTTTTGGGGCTGTTTTGATCAAACTATGAGCAGACTGAAGAAAAAAGTCACCTCTGCAGTCTTACTTTGCAGACAGGATTCCTATCAAAATAATTACTTTCCTGATCAAAATCATGTGACAGTCTTCTAGAATAGTCCATTGCCTTGACTCACTCACCTCTGTTTTCCTTGGCCAGGTTGTCAGCCATCTCCCAGTAGTCATAGCTGTGCAGGATGCTGTTGGTGATGCTGACATGGTTGGCAGCCATCTGATGAATACGCTGTGGTATGCTGACGATAGGAGATGGGGAAGGGGCCCCTGTGCTCCCCTGGGATCCTACAGAGCTGACTGGAGAAGGGCTAGGGGACATGGGTGATGGTGTTCCTGTGCTCCTGGAAACAGACATTAATACAGTTACTTAAAAGGTGTTGGGATTAAAACCGTGAGAATATCAGAACATACTGCAGGTAAGAAAATATTATTTCTGACTGCCAATCTAATGTATGTTTCTGTGCGACTTACTTTCCACTGGCACCCCAAGGAGATGGGTTCTGGGCAGCTTTTGATGAATTCTGTAAAGGAAAAAGTAATTCAGAAGGTAGATAGTTTATATAAGACTATGAAATGAATTACATTAAACAGTATAAAAGTAAAGAAATGAAAGAAAAAATTGTGCAAGTACAAGTATTTAAGTCTCATGATGCAATAAACCAGCTCAGCCTGGTTTGGTGTTATGATGAAGCAGTGCTACAGCACTGACTCAGATCACAGTCTATTAAACACCCTGGCATGGGGACTGATGAAGAAAACATGTTAGTTGAAATGAAAACTTTTCACAGAAATCCTGGGAGTTCAGAAGAAAGTGCTGCTAGGACTTTTTTTGAGGTTTAGGCTGGAATTTCTTGTGATAGAGAAAGCCAGAAGGATTTCCTCCTACTCTCCTGTCCTCAAAGACAAATGTCATTCCCCTATGTCATTCCCCTAGGACCTGCAAGACTGTGCAGGACTGCCTGGCTGACCACAGGGATGTGAATCTGAGACTTCTTCAGCTCAGGTGGGTGTTTTAACCACCAGGCTCAAGAATCTTTCTCACGATTGCTCCTCTTGGAGCTGTTCCTCTTTGTCTGAATACAGCAGCATTCACAGTGTCAGAGAGACTGCCTTTGTACACTGCTGTTTTTTCTAGCTGAAGAAAGTTCCCAACAAACCCCCCAAAGGGGACATTAGATTTAGTGTAATCTCTTGTGTATTTGCAGTCATTAAGACTCTCACTGGTACAGTGTGCTTAGGCTAAAGAACGTCATTGCCTGGGGAGAGACTACCTTGTATAAGCACTACATTTACAGAGCAGAAATTCAGGTGTCTGCGATAATGGAAATTATTTTAGTAGTTAGTGTGCAGGAGCTGGTGGGAATTTTCTGGCAGGTTCCTGCCCATTTGACCTGTGGGAAAACTCTTCTCTCCCAAATGCAGTGACCGATTTAATCCTGGGCCTGTGAGAAAGAAGGATGTAGAAAATAGAAGTCTAAGAAACGAAACTTTTCTAGTCCATTCCATCCATAGCCTCATATTCAGGAATGGCCAGTCTCTGTTTCTGCAGAGGAAAGTGACCTCCTCACACTCTCCCCTGAAACCATACATGCAGATAACTGTGTGCTTGCTTTCCTTCTTGACAGCCACGGGAGATGAAGTGAAGTTCTGCACCTTGAGAACTTGATATTTGTTTAAATGCAAGACTGCAGGTGTTGCAAGCTGCAGGAGCTACAAGGATTAACAGCACTACAAAAACTCTTGTGTCCCATCTATGGCTTACTAAGGAAAAATGATAAACCAGGGGCTTCAGAGCTTCACAGATTTCAAGGCCAGGAGTAATCCCTCAGGACACTCAGTCTGCAATTTGCCTTTCCCACCAATCGTGGAACTTTTACGAGAAGCTAAATGACATTTAGAATTTATTCTATTTTATTCTTTTTGAAAAGGATAGCTAGTCATATAGAAATCCTAAGACACTATTAATCTTTCTTTCCCTCCTGTGTCCTGCTCTGATGTTTCATAGGCCTCACAGTTAGAAAAACAGATTCTGTTTCAGGGTTTTAGGATTGAATTTTCTTACCTTCAGTGCTAGCTTTTGGATTTTGTTGATCCAATGTCAGCAAACTGCACATTACCTGGTATTATCAGCTCTGTTTCCCTGTACACAATGATCACACCCTCTCTTAACGTGTTCTGCAGTAAGCTCCACACATCTCCTTAGCACCTCTTCTAAAAGTTTGTTTTCTCAGTTTCGATGTGTCTTCTGAACTGCTGCTTGTGTTCCTACACTGTTCATGTGCACACTGGCATTGGCTGCATTTTAGCAGGTATCACATCAGTGCTGTGTGTGCCCTGGCATTCTTCCTGCATTTTAACCTGGGCCTTCTCCATCCCAGGTAACTGGTATGAAAAATAACCTTTAAAGTGTCCCGTGTCCCACACGGGTTCTTCCTTCAATGGGTTTTCCTTTTTTTTAATTTTTTTTTTTTTTAATTTTATTTTCTTGGCAGGAAGGGTTAAGGTGTGAAAAGGAAAGTTCTCATTTACCATCCTAAATAGAACCAACCTGGGAATCTGAGGATTTGCTCCTCTTACAGAAAAACTACCGGCCTTTGTCTTTCTAGTGTAATGGAAACCAAGTATATGTTATTTATTTCCAGAGTTGGAGGCCCAATAATACAAAACTCGAAGTGGAGTCAAGGGTACTTCAGCTGTAAATGTAAATCAGCCTCTGCCTTCCTGTACAACTTACCACACCTTTTTTCTCATGTTTTAGGTACGTTGCTCCAGCTTCCTCTCAGTTCTGCACCAGAAGGCTGGGGTAAGGATTCTAAAGAGTGTAATGTTGTAAGGGGCCATCTCTTACCCCACTTTGCTTATTGCTTTCCCTTCTCTTGGTTTCTTTATGCTCTCTAATATGTCTGGCCCCAGAACATCTGTGGCTTCTTTTTAATTGTCTGCTGCATTATCAATTATTTTTTTTAATAATGGAAAGAAAATACTTAAAGGGAGATTTAAATAATATTTTTTCCTTTTCTAAAAGAAAACTGTGTATAATTTTCCCTGCAAATGTGTGTGACAAGGCTTAAAATCTTTCTTTGATTGATAATATATGTGGAAGTTCTTAATGCAGACAGCATTTCACATCACTTGGTTTAGAAAGCTTTTAGATACCAAATACGAAATGAGTGGAGAATTGGCTTGTTTTCCACTGAAAATTACAGCAAATGGATTTTTTTCCCCATTTTTACTTTCAAAGGTGAGAATACTTTCTAATGTGAAACTGCACTATCATTATATCAGCATGAGTTCTGCAAAAAAACCAAGCTCATCTTGGCTGTAGCAAAGTGTAAGTCCATTTTGTGTTTGCTGTGAAACAGTTTGTCTGTCTGCTAGTATGAGACATTTTACATGGTTGAGAGCCTGACCATTCTGTTCTTAATCCAGGTATTCTCTGAACTGGTGAAGAAGAATAAAGTACTGTAATAGGCACATATTTCTTCCCCCTGAAATCAAGGCATTGTTAGAGAAACATAACTTGTTGAATTATATATTGCTAAATTTTTAGAAGCAATTACAGTGACTTCAATTTCAGTTTCACAATAACAGATCTGTCAATTTCTTTCACTGTCTTCATGTGTTCAGAATCTGCTCATGAGCATTTGTGCTTGTATTTGAAATTTTTTTATTAACAAAATGTGAAAGGATGGATGCTTTTCATTTCAAGGTACCTCTCTCTGTAATAAAACCCCAAGAGATAATCCCTTTGTTCAAAGACAAATGGCTGCACAGAAGGTCCCCCAAAACAATTTGCCTTAAAGCACTTGCATGTTCATATTACTATTTTTTTATTATTTAGAGAGATAAAGGTTTGTAGATCAAGTGCTGGATGGACTGGCTGCTAGGTGAACTCTACCTGAAAGCTTTTGTTCTTGAGATACTTTCCAGGGAAAAGTTGCCTGCCAAATACAATGTATTAAAATATTTCAAGTGACTTCTTGTCTTACTGAAAATAACCAGGGTTTGTACATGGCAGAGTAGAAAATGGAAGCAGTAGCAGGTGAAGCAAGCAGTGTCATGTCAAGTACATGGCAGGTGGTTTGGCTGCCCTCTGATGCTTTCGTGCAACTCCCACTGAAGTCATGTGGGCCATTTGCCAGTTCCACGAGTAAGAGCATGTCCCACTGCACTCTCTTACCTATCAGTTCTGCTAAGTGGAAGCCCTGCAGCTGAGGACTGATCTAGATCGAAGTCTTCAACTCACAGGTCTAGTGAGAAGTGTAATACTGGAGGGGATTCTTGGAAAACCTGTAAACCTAATCATAATGGAGCTGGATGGCACTAGACAATTGACCAAGAATAACCTGAAAATACCCGTTTGTTAGTACAATGAATCTCTCATCCTCATGAAGGGACACAGTGTGTATTTTGCAAAGAGGGGCCCTTGTGAAGACAACAGAACTGAAGAGACATCAGGCATTGCAGTGGGAGTCTATGGTAAAACTCCACTGACTTCACAGGGGGAGAACTAAGCCCAGCACACTGTTGAAGTAAGATGCCGTATTTCCTATAATGGCACACTGATTTAAAAACATGCCAGAAAGAATATACCTTGAAATACTCAATAAGCGCTTTCGAATACTTGACTGCATGGTCTTTCTTGAGGCGGAACATCCTCCAGTACAGAAGGGCCAGGCAGCGGTAACTAAAACAAAAGGGAGAGCAGAAGGTAAAGCATGCCCCTTGAACAGAAACCCCAATTAATTATCTTAAAGTCTCAACCTAACGCGGAGTGGAATGCTGAAAGCTCTTTGCTTATGAATTTTATCACCATTTGTTTACAGTACTTCACACTTTGCCATGGATTCAGGAGCAAGGCTAGGTATTACAGCTAGGGCAGATCACATTGACAAAGGCTACTAGTAAGGTACTAAACTAACTGTTCTCAGAAGGGTTTGCAGGTTTGGGTTCCCAGGCCTTGACTCTTAAGTCTGCACACTTGACCAGAGGCCTCTCCTGTCAAAAGGTCATTACTGGCCTAGAACCCAACATATGCATTTTTAAAAGATTCTTTTTTGTAAGTGCAAAGGCAGCCTTTTTGGGTATCTTCTCCTGGGAGTTTATCACAATAGCCTGGAACTTGTATAATGAACTAGAGTTATAACAGGTGTATTTTGTGTACATCCACAGTCTCTTCCAGCAGCTGGAGATAGCTGGGAAACAGGGAAACCTCAGACCTGCCCCAGATTTCACTGGCCAAGCTCCTCTGTGGGAAACCATAATGGAGACTGTGTTGGAGCCTGGAAGCTATTCCTAGGCCACCTGCTGGATTTGTTCCTCAGAGGAAAGCAGCAGTGGGCTGAAAAAACTCTATGTGCTGTACTGGAACTATCCTGCCCCTGTGCACCTCGTTAGTCTGCAGAGTGCCACACACCTTTAAAGCTATGTAATTAAATGAGAGTAATAGCTATTAACTATAATTATACATCACTATAACTGATAATCAGCATTCAGGACACACAAACTCTTTTCTTTGCTACTGGCTTTAGGTGTACTGGTTTATTTTCTGAATCGAGAATCACCACCGCCTCTTCCCAGCAAGCTTTTTGATCGATGAGTGTGGGATTGCCCCGCAGTAACACAGCTTTCGCAGAAAATATCTGACATGTTTTGGTTTTCCTTTGGCAGCGGAGGACTTATTTTGAAAGTTGTATTTAGTCTTGGAGTTAACCTGAAGCACCAGAAGGTGCCTTGAGTTTGGAAGCTCAGAGAAAAATCCACCTTCCCGTGCCCAGGAGCTGCCCAAACCTCAGCGAACCCATCGAATTAGCAAAATGGCTCATGGAAAAAGTCCCAGGCAGGGTTTTTCTCAGCCTCCTGCTGTCAGCAGAAGGTGAATTTCTGCCTTTGGCCGCTGGAGGGCAGTCTCTCCCCAGGAGAAGCGGAGCTGCTTGGCAGCCTGGGAGCTGCCAGTGGATGCGGTGGCCTCGCAGCCACCACCATAACTCTCACTCTGTCACCTTCACAGGTACAGCACATATGCAAATGGTGTCAGCTCATCTGCTGCCTGGCAGACGGTGAGTTAAGATTGCTATTCATCGCCCAGCGAAGGCACCGTCTGCCTTCCCCCTCGCTGACCTTTCTGCTGAAACAGATGCAGCGGCTCCGTGAATTTGGATGTGGCTCTGCACATACCGAGGCACTCCGGCAGCTCTCAGCAACCCTTTGTAATACCGCTTTATTTTATTTTTTACCATTCTTTAGTAATTTTCCCACCTAAGTGTCTTTAAAGCAATTGCCATTAGCGCGTTCTGTGCTCCTCCCAACAGCACAGCAAACCAGTGACAAAGAAAGGGCATTTAAAGAATAAATGCATCTCTGAATATTTTATTCTTTCAAATACAAACGATTAATTAGGAGCCCTTATTTATGGAGGCTAAAGATGCACCTGATTTGGGTTTTTAACAGATGGTTAATAGATGTTAAAAACACACTTGCTGATTGTGAATGTCCACTTACTGAGAATCAGTAACCATGTAATAGGTATTTTATGTATTAACCACATAGATATTAAATTAAAATTTGATTTTAATAACATTTTATTGTTTTACTAGCAATCAGCAACCATCCTATAGCATCTAAGGTGCGTGCTTATATATCTAGAAATCTCAATTTAGAGGGTAATCCAAAAGGCTTAATTAACACCATCGCTGTATCTCCCTTCATATAATATAAACATAATTTATGATTATTGAGCCTAAAATGTCAGTCACAAAAGAAATGACTGAGCTATTGGTACAAAAATACATCACTCATAAAAACAACAAACCATCAGGCATTTAAAAGTTAATTATGCTGACATACCATAGCTGACCTGTCACAGTCAATAAGTATGAATTGCTTATTTACAGAGACAGCGTACAGACTTGATACAGTGTGATACAAGGGCTGGACATTCCCGGAGCAGAAAGTATTCTCTTAATTTCAATAAACAACATAATCCTATCTGGCTGTGTCCAGCATGAAAATCAGAGATTTTCAAGAACCGGCTCACTGCAGAAAAGAAGCCTTTTGAGGAAATCTTGATTTACTAACCATAATGCTGCCAGCTGTTTGTCTTCTGGCGTGGCGTTGGAGCCAGAGTGGGTTTTTAGTCTTACTGCATACCTTAAACAAAAGGAAAAAAGCCAATGTGAGTTAACTGAGACAGCTTTATATTACTGATCAGAGAGCTAAGCTGCCCAATGTCATCTAATCTGCTCCCGTGTACATATTTGCTCAAGTTACTAGACACGCATGTGCTTTTTCTGCTCATGTTTCAGAGATATTTTGCCTCCCTCTGCTCTTTAAACAGCAGTAACTCCCTTGAACACCCATCAGTGCAGAGTGGAGCCTAGATGGTGAGATGATGCTGTCCTACCAAAATAACCTCTTCTGCTGTGGAGACCCAGTTACACAGAGTTCATGCAGAAAGGTTTTCACAACGTTTGAATGCAGACAGCCTGCCTTGAAGCTGGTGCTGCCCTCACCCTGCCAGTTCTGAGCATGTCTACCAGATTTGCTCCTCCAAGCAGAGCACAGCAGAGGAGAACATGTGGCTCACAGCTATTTTTGCTCATATGACATTACATTCAAATTCTATAAATATTAAACACCCACAGAGGTAGCACTGCTGTTTCAAGAGTGTATGTGCCATGCAATCACAAATCAGTTTCTGGAAATCTCAGCTTCCAGCTGAATACCTGAACAATGGACAAGGTTAGGACAACACACAGTACTTCTGGGCTCGCTTCCAGAAAAATACCTGTCCCCCACAATTAGCTGCTTGTGTTTTTTCTTATCTTTACTTTCAATATCTTTGCAAAGAGTTGGTATGAACATCTTGTTTCAACAGGCATACCTAGCAAAGCACTTATTTTTCTGAGCTGCAGCAAGTAACATCAACAGAAAATCACACTACAACACAACCACAGCTACACACATTATTGAAAGCTATGGATCTGCAAACAAAATTAGTTTCCAGAGTTAGGACCATATATTTACTATCATGAGAAAAGATGGGGCAGAGAAAGAAAGAACTTTCTGCCTTCTGAAAATAAAAAGGAAAGAATTGCAGAGATGGGGTGTGCTATTCTCTTACTGAAAAAAAAATAATTTGATTTTGTTAAATAACCTTCCAGTCAGAAAGCTGGCCTGACAGTGCAGCTTTCTCTGCTACTGTGGCTGAGTTTGTTCTCTTGTGGAGACGGTCACTCAGCTGCTGGGATGATTTTGACCTTTGTTTTTTCTACCGACACTGTCAATAATGACTATTTAGTACCAGCTATAATGGAGAAATAGACTTAGGAGACAAATTTTCTTCATAGGAACTGTGGGTGGGACTCAATTCTACTGTCCTGTTTGGAGAGTCATGAAGGTGACTAAGTGTAGGGGCAGCTTTAGTGTGAGCTGGACAGCTTTTGGGACTCCACTGGCTACAATAGGAGCATATGCACCAAATGGACCTTGAGTGTCCAATTTCCTATCACTGTTCAGGTAATCTTTCAACTGCAGTCTTAAATACATTGCAACATTTTGCAAACTACCACTCCATGGCAATGTTTTGGTGTTATGTGTTATTATTTTTCCCTTTTGAGTAGCAAAACTTGCATCATGAAGCTTTTGAAATAATTTGCAACCTAAGTAATATGAAAAGCTTTGGCGTTCATTTGGATGTATTTTGTTTTGGTTTTCACTATACACGCTTTCCTGATTTAATATCAATCACAGATAATACATACACATTACATCCCACCTGGGAGGACCTCACTTCTCCCCTCTTCCTGTATCTAAGGAAGTATGTGATAATGTAGATGAGCATGTTTGCACAGAGTAACCTCCTCCCTTCCTACCTGATGAGTTCAACTGTTTCTGAATACATTGTATAAGGGGATTTAGATTCCATTGGGCCTTGTTCCATTGCATTTCCACACTCAATAAATGATAGTGCTGCTTCTGCATAATTCAGTGCCTTTCCAAACTTTTCCACCTAGAGGGAAAAAACAAGGACACAGAGAAATAGTGTAATCATCAAGATATGGTTACATTTGATGGCATTTTCACAACATGAATTGTTGGTACATCTTCAGATTCACAAATTTTCCTATGAGAAACTTAAAATCCATCACACGGTATGCATCAGTGAAAATCATAAGATACAGAAAGTAGAACTAGAAAAGGCTACAAGATGTTATTATGCCCACACTCTTGCACCTAACAAAGGATCAACTCTGCCTAGGACATTCCTGACGATGTTTGTCAAGGCTTTTCCAGTGCTGGAAATTCCATCCTCAGGCTTTTTGTTTCAGCTTTCATTAAAAAGCATTTCACATATCTTTGAAAATGTAGATTTTCATCATCAGTGAGCAAAGAAAGTGCACATCAGTGAACTAAGAGAACGAGAATTAAATACTTAAATACTGCTAACTCTTACTCAAAGGCTTATCTCTGTTCTCATGTCTTTTTTATCCCTACCATTGTCAGCCCTGTTTGACCACACTCTCCTCTTTCAGGATTTTCCTTTCTAAATCCTCCTCCTCTTTCAGGGGCTGCTTTGCTCCTGCAGCTTCTTATGCCATCCTCCTTCTTTATTTAAGTCATCCTGCCCATTTCTTTATTTTCCTCCTTCTTTATTTATGCCATTCTGCCCCATTTCTTTATTTTCATTACTACTTTAACTCAGTTTGTGTGTATTTGCATACTTGTATGGATGTACATGCATATAAGTCCTCAATGACGGTGTGTATGTAAATGTGCACATAATGTTCATATGTGTACACTTACATACCACTTAATCTGCTCTCAGAATTTCATTTTTTATGTGGATAGAGATGAATCATACTAATACCTCTCTGTCCTGCTTTCTTTTTCCTTCAGTCAGAACTCCTGCGGTACATAAAGCCCATTAATGGACTGGATGCATTTGGTTGAAATCTGATGCACACAGTGAAAGGTTAATGGACCTTATTCTTTTCCAAGGGATAAAGATTTTAAATAGCAACTTCAGAATGGCACACTGGCTTCAATCTATTTTAGGTTCTTATATGACTCCCATTGCGATCATACTGGAGAACTTCACAAACTTTTTATTATATTTCTCTCCCTGACGCTCTTGTGCGGGTGGAAGTGCTATTATCCCAATTTCACAGACGGGGGACTAAGGAGCAGAGAGGCTTAGAGTAATTTTCAGGCTGTGCACTCTAAGTGCCTATGTTAGGTACTGCAGTGCCAAAGTAGGAAGTATCAGACCTAGCAAAGTGATTCAAAGTGCCTGGAGGCACATTGACAATATGGCATTTCCTCCAGGATCCCTACAGAGTCAAGGAGTGAAAGGAAGTACCTGAAAAGGGAGATTCACATGGTGAGTAAGGTGCTGGTCCACTGTGTAGAGAAGCTGAGTGTGAAGGGTATTTCAATCACCTAATACTGATGTGAGACTATTTAAACTGTGCCTAAGACACTTTTATGCAGGAAACTTGTGGCAGAGTAGAGAATAATGCTTGCATCTCCCGTTTCTGGGAGTCTACCATAAAAACATTCCTCTTCAGGCTAAGAATTTCCTTTGCATATTAAGTGATCTTTTCCATTCTGTTTAAAGCAACACACTAAAATGCACCATTTGTACTTCTCCACAATATTTTCTGATTTAAGACTCACTTTAGAGTAATATGGAACTGAATAAACCATGGAAATTTGCGCTAATAAACTCAGGTAGAGTGTAAAACTTAGTGTCCTAAATTAAGGGCTTGCTTCTGCTGCCTTGGCCTTTTTACATTCTGCACAGCTGAGGAAAAGAGGTGAAGAAGCAGAGGTTCTGAGCTACTTCTTTCCTGCTCCTGTGACAACAAAGTGTCTGTCTGTCAGCAAATCTGCCCCCACCTGGAAGATGATAGCCATATCAATGCAGGGTCCCACTCCATATATTGCATCTGCCATCCCAGAGGCTGAATGTTTTTAAGGCTTTGCTAACTTATTTCTAGCACTGGACAAACGTAGCCTGGGAGAAAGCTGAGAGATGGCAAAGGGAGCTGTCCTGGAGCACTGTGTACTTTGTTGCATCCCTTTGTCATAGAATCACAGAAGGGTTTGGGTTGGAAAGAACCTTAAAGATCATGTAGTTCCCACCCCCCTGCCATGGGCAGGGACACTTTCCACTAGACCAGGTTGCTCAAAGCCCCGGCCAGCCTGGCCTTGAACACTGCCAGGGATGGGGCAGCCACAATTTCTCTGGGCACCCTGTGCCAGGGTCTCACCACCCTCATAGTGAATAATTTCTTCCTTATATCTGATCTAAATCTCTCCTCTTTCACTTTAAAGCCATTCCCCCTTGTCCTATCACATGCCCTTGTAAAAAGTCCCTCTCCATTTGTTTCAAAAGAGAAGCATCTCTTTAGTGCTCCATATAATCTCAGATTCCCCCTTTTCCTACCAGCTACAATTTTAGACAGGTCAAAGCCAGGGCCAAGAATCTGTTGCAACAGTCCTTTGTGTGCAAGGTGTTCCTCTAGGGTTATACAGATCCCTTGTGTGCTTCTGATTATGTTGGGAAATGTCTGCCATGTAACCAGGATTCTTTTGACACTCAAGTGCCAAACCTCTTTAAAAGAAGCAAAAATACCTCAGCCACCAGACCAAATTTGGGGATACAATTATAGCACCTAGCCAGCTATTTAAACTGGGGAAAAAGGTATGTGTATCCCTTACGCAGCCTCCATTGCTACAGTTACTAATTAAAGCAAAGGAATAAATGGGAAGTTTTATTTATCCAGGCCTTTATCTCAGTAAGTCATTATTTGTTAAGTCATAGTTTATTGGGCTATGAACATTTGATTATATAAACATTTCTTAATTTAACAAGCCTAGCCATCCTTATAATAGATTTTATAATTACCCCAGCAATACTGCACTGATGAAGAAACTGCATTACAAAAATAATTTGGAGCAACATAACTGGAAAGAAAATGTTCTCACCATTGCATCTGCTTTATGCTTCTTCCGTTTAGCTTCCTGCATAAAGTAATCTGCATTGCGTGGCCTACCAGAGGAAAATAAGAAGACATTTTATTATTTTCTGAAGTGCAGAATATTTTAAAGTTATTTCCCCCTTATTTTAAACCTGATTTTCAAACATTTTTTTATGAAGAAAATACACTTATCATATAACCATGCATCTTCTGTTTCCAAATTGCTGCCTGTGGAGACAATAGCATTTATGACTGTTCTCATTCTTTAGAAGTCAGTGATTCAAAGCAAAAAAAAAGCTAATAAAATGCATTTTTATGGATTATATAAACTGCTTCCGAAATTAGTGCAGTTTTGATCTGTAAAACGGATACAAGCATTAAGCGGAACAAGTTATTCCGTCTCCTGGTGCTTGCTTACCTCTTTTTCCACTCCTCTCTGTACACTGTTATTTGCCTTTGTTTCTCCCTCCTCTCAAAACAAGTGTGTGTTTAATCTCTCCACTCTGAAAACACACATCGAACCCTCTTGCCTTCACAACTACCATCTCGCCCTCCTCCGTCTTAATCTGTAAGCACGCTGAGAGTGCTGTTTACTTTTGCTGCCTGGAGTTCATTTCCAGCTTGGTGCTGGGCCGCCTGCTGCAATTCCACTGGTGTTGCTCGTGCCAAGGTCTCCACTGATTTCTCCTCAAACAGATCTCCACCCCTTCCTTAACATACCTACTGCCTAACTGACCTACTGATTCCAAGGTGCAAATTCAACTGCTGTCTCTGTGCTGAAATTCACAAGTCCGGCTCTGATCCAGACCTATCCACTTCCATCCAAACTGAAAACACAAATGGATGTCTCCTTGGCAATGTCTGGTCACCATCTCAGTGAGCTCCTCCTGGCTGAAGCAAATTTCTTCATCTCCTCCACAAGCTTTCCCTATTGCACTTTTCCCAGTCACTGTGGAAAATAGCCATTTGCCACTTGTCAGGCCATAACCTTGCACCTTCAGCTGTTGCCTATTATAAAAGTCTTCACCTTTCCTGACCCTACACATTCTTCCAGACCCATATATACAGGAGGTGGCAACCTTCTTTCTCTACTCGGCTAAAACACAGAATCACATGTCCTGTTTCTTCTCAGCTTATACTGTGCTTACTGCCATATCCTCATCTCTCTCAGACAAGGAAGTTTTGCCTTGCAAAAGTTTTCTTAGTATTAGTTAGTGTCATTCCTTTGCCCTCATCTAATGAAAAAGAGAGATTCCTGAGTAGTCTGAGTATGAATTCTGATGCTTTTACCACTCATGTTTTTAAGTGCTTGGTGTGGTGAATTATGTGGTATTACTGCCACTCAGCAATTTGCTGTAGGTTAACCCTGGCTGTCGGCTCAACCCCACACAAATGCTTGCTCACTTCCTTCCACTAGGATGGAGGAGAGAATCAGAAGAGTAAAAATGAGAAAACTCATGGGACAAACTAATAAGTAAAGCAAAGTAGAACAAGGAATTCATTCACTGCTTTCCGTGGGCAGGCAGGTGTTCAGCTGTCTCCAGGACAGCAGGGCTCCATCACGCTTAACAATGACTTAGGAAGATAAATGCCATCACTCCAAACACCCCTCTTTTCTCCTTTCCCCAGCTTTTATATGCTGTGCATGATACCATATTCTATAGAATATCCCTTGGGTCAGTTGGGGCCAGCTGTCCTAGCTCTGTTCCCTCCCAGCTTCTTGTGCACCTCCAGCCTACTTGCTGGTAGTATGGCATGAGGACCAGAAAAGGCCTTGGCTCTGTGTAAGCACTGCTCAGCAATAACTAAAACATCCCTCTGTTATCAACACTGTTTTGGTCACAAGCCCAAAACACAGCACCATAACAGCTACTATGAATATTTTGCAGTGTTTACTTAGTCTGTTTCCTTCTACTTATGTCACACAATTTCAAGGACATTTAACTGCATCACAGAAGGTTAGTCAACCTTATTTTGAAAAGATGGAAAGCTAAGTATCACTAGATGGAAATAAAATTCAAAGTCTGGCTAATTTTGAATGACAGTTCCTTTGCTCCAACATTCTTTAAAATGTTGTTCTCCCTCAGAGTGGATTTTCTCCCCAGTTTACCCAGTAGGTCAGAAAGGGGGCTGAAGACAGTTTTGTGTCCCACTATCTCATAACCTACTGCAGCTGCAAATACTTCCTGTGCCCATCAAGATGCTGATGTTATCTTAATAACATGAAGCATCTGGATTTGGTCTTGGTCAATTACGAAATATTAGACATTGAAACAGTGTTAGCTTGGCATAGAAAAATGGCTGTTTTCAGAACTGTTGAAAGAACTCTTATGAAATTTTTAAGTCCTGTCTGTCTCGTACAATGACGTGGGCAAGATGGTCTACTATGAAGTGCCAAAAAGCAAAACAAAGCAGAGGAAATAAAGAAAACAGTGTTCTTATCTCTGTCTGAAATGATCTAAGTGATGGAGCTTTACATGATCCTTTCAAACTCAGGTCATTAAAATCTGTCCTTTGCAACATTCTCTCCCATATATCACCCAGCACTGTACATCTAATTTGCTTGTTTGAAGCATGGTATGAGGCTGTAAAAACAAAGTGAGATAACACAATGTAATTATGGTCTACTTATTTATAAGTTAATTGTAAAATTGTTTTCAACTTGTAACAGGATATATTCTTCCAAGATATGATTAGCAATGAGGGTATTAGCAAGAGGTATGCACATTACTGAACCAAGAAGCCTGCTTTGAGGGCCCTGCCATGCAGTGGTTAACCATAATACAATGTGCAAAACCTGAAGTCGTCAGTTTGTACTAAGTCCAACTGTTTTTTTTTGGGAAGCCAAATATAAAAAAGAAACTATTAAAAGGTCATTTTAAAGCAAAGCGTATGTATTCTCAATCTGAATGTTTTAAGTATTTCCATAGGAAAAATACAAGATTGATTTACAAGTCAGGAGATGCCTAACAGAAATTAAGATTCATTGGGAAAAAATGGATAGGGTACGTTTTCTTCTAGTTTCTTAAACAGAGCTTGTTCAATGGTGCTAATAAGCATACCAAATCAAATTCTGATCTCTTTATGCCATCTGTGAAATACTATTCTTCAATTTATCACTACATGCTAATAAATTTCCTATTCAGATTTCTAATGTGCATGTTGGGTGAAAATGGAAAGCTGAGATGTCCTATAGATTTAATGTTTGTTATGTACTTTGCATATATTCCTTATATTGTTTTAGTAAGAAAATAAGGATGTGCTTGGATTTTATTGTTTTCTGATTTTTTAATAAGGAAGAAAGGTTTCAAATTCAGTTTTGTTTAGGTTTCCACTGCACTTGCACCTGATTTGTCTCCTTAAATCCAGTATACTAATTTAAATTATGTCATGAAGTAAAAAAAAACAACAGACACTACCCTCCCCCTTCTATAGTCTCCTTGAAGCTAGCAGGTTATCTCAGCTCATGGACAAAGGAAGACACATGAGAAAGCTGATGCATAAATAAATTACTCAGGATAGCTCTTTTGCATACTGCACATTTTCTATCTGTGAAGATCACAAAAGATTGTTAATTATAATTTGATTTTACATACCCTTAAGTTGTAGCGACTAAGAACCCTATCTTACAAATGTGAAGGTTCATCCAAATTTCCTCTGCAACTTGCCCTTTTCAGTTACATTGGTGAGCATCTCAGACTGAAGAATTTGCAGGTAATGTCATTGGATGCTAATTTCAGATATGAAATGTTATGATGAGAGGCATCTTGGGAAGAAGCAAATCCGTTTTCCCACTGACAAGATACAGAAAGATCTGTGGTGAAACCCCTTTTCAGGTCTTTGGTCTAAGGTTTGAAAACACTTTGCAGATCACAGCCTCACTACAGCCTGAGAAGCAAGAGAACAAAGAAAAATTCTACAGGATTAAAATGGTACCGACTACTGGTTGAACCTGAGTGTATGTGAGTAGCAGAAGCAGCACTGGAGTCTCTTTATTAGGCTTACTGGTCATGAATGCAAACCAAAGTCCTGTGGAAAGTTATTCAGTGACTTCTGGTTTTCAGACAGTTGAGTCAGATTTCCCCCTTAAGTTATTTACAGCTGTATGTGTCCATTGGTGTCAGCATTCTCACTCCAGATTTACAAACAGAATTCAGGCCTCTTTAAACAAAAAAAAAACAAACCCTAAAAAGAATTCTGTCTTCAAATTAACAGGTACAAACAAGTGTTTTATCTCTATTAATAATCAAGACTGCACAAGAAAATCTTTTGCTTCTGAATATCTGATTGTTGGTACTTTTAGAAATATAGTCCTCTTCAACAAAGCCAAAAAGGAGTTCTAATACACTGCTCTAATGCATCTCATATATCTCTCTGAAAGGCAAGAGAAAGAGCGCAAAGCTTCAGTGCCAACTAAGTCAGGTCGCTGGTGAATTCTCCCTGGGATCAAGTGTCATTGTGTGAAACTGGCTGCTCTCGAAGAGAATTTACCCTACTATGTTGATTGGGGAAAGCAATCAAGTACCGCTGGAACCATTTCAACGCATTCTCAGTCAACGCTAGCCAGTCACCTAGGCACTAAACAGAATACAGCCTTTTACAGAATAACCCCCCCGTGGCTAGATCTGATAGTACAAACAAGGCCAGGCTTCCTTTTCAGCAGCAGCATTCAAACCGTTTATGACTTTGACAAGGGCAGCCTCAGTAGCATGGCTGTGCCTGAATCCAGGATGAAATTTATCAAACAATCCATTACTGTCCAGAATTTCTCTCCCTCGCCTTGCCACCACTTTCTCTGGGAGGTTGTAGAAAACCAGCAGGAAAGACAGCATTGCCATTGCTTGTTATGTTGTGCAGGATCCCAGCATGAGGTGAGATAGCTGTGGGCATCGTAATTACTCCCCTTCCAGAAGCAGCCTTTCAGAATTTCCAGGCTGTTGAGCTCCTAAGAGTGGTGTTACCATTACCCAGGTGAAATGCTTGTATGTGTTTCTCTCATCCTATTTAGCTCTACGCCATTACAGTATATCTCTGCCACCTTTGTCTTTTGTTACCTTCTCTGAATTTAATT